TAATAGACATTTATACATGATAAATGAGGCTTTTAGGGGCTGCTGTTGTCACAGCTTGGGTAATGCCACCTCCAATGAATATTCCAAGGGAAGGGTCTTACCAGCAGTGACTGAATGTGACAGCTGTGAAGTAGCAGGCTGCTGTGTAATTTCTGACAAGAGAAACAAAAAACAAAATGGAACAAAATCCTCTCCTATAAAATTGCAAACTATTTAAAAAGCAGGACACGGGAATTGATCAGATTAGGGCATATTTATATTATAGGTCCACTAACAAAGAGCTTATAAATGGTTTCTCAGTGAGGTCTCAGTGCCATGCTATGGCTGAAGAACAACTGAAATCCTTGGATATAAGGACATGTGGAGGAGTAACTTAATTTTTAATTATGTTGAAAACACACAATTTTACCACAGCACACAGCACTGCAAACACCAGTACTGAATATACACATACAATCCTGGTGTCCTGAAAAAATAAGCAAACAAATAAATCAGCAAACAAAAGAGCCCAAAATTCTTTGCTATGACAACTCAACTAGCTCAACCTGTTTAGCTTACTGAAAAAGACTGAGAGGTGACGTGACTACCATATATAAGTACCTTCAAAGGGAAAAATAGCTAGTCCTGACAAGGGAATATAAGCATGGATTTACCAAAGGTAAATCATGCTTTAATAATGTGACTGCCTGCTGTAAGGAAATGACTAAATCTGTTAATAAGAGAAGACCAGTTGATGTGATCTCCCTTGAATTTAGCAAAGCTTTTGACATGGTCTTCCACAACATCCTCATATCCAAATTGGGATGTTACGTTCTAGGTAGGTGGACTGCTAGATAGGTGAAAAACTGGTGGGATTGTTAGGCTTAAAGGGCAGCAGTTAACGGGGTTCATATGTTGTCTAGAATTTGGCCAGCAGGTTAAATATGAGCCAGCAGTGTGCCCAGACAGTGAACAGAAGGTGAACAGCATCCTGGGTGGTATCAACAGGACCCCTGGAAGTAGATTGAGGGAAGTGACTATTCCCCTTTACTTGGTACTCATTAGGCACATCTAGAATACTGTGTCCAGTTTTGGGTCCCTCAATATAGGAAAGATATTGATCCACTGGAGCAAGTTCAGTAGAGAGCCACCAAGTTGGTCAGGGGCTGGAGCACTTGCCCTGTGAGGAGCAGCTGAAGGAGCTGGTCTTTTTCAGCCTGGAGAAGAGACAGTTTTGGAGGGACTTAACAGCAGCTACCCAGTGCCTACGAGCAAGCTGCCAAGAGCCACGGAGCCAGGCTCTTCACAATCATGCATGGTCGGAGGACAAGATACAAAGGCCATGAATTGAAAGAAAAGATGTTCAGACTGGATATAAGAAAAAATTTTTTCACCTTGAGGACAGTCAAACAGGTTATCCATAGAGGTTGGACAGTCTCCATCCTTGTAGGTTTTCAAGACCAGACCGGGTAAAGTGCTGAGCAGCCTGGTTTGATAACATAGCTGACCCTGCTTTGAGTAGCAGGTTGGACTACAGAGAGAGCTCCTGAGGTCCTTTCCAACTTGAATAATTCAGTCAGCCTATGAAAATATCACATGCTGATAATTTCTTTAACCTAGTGGTGAAAATCGTAACAAAAACCACTGACTGGAATCTGAAGCCAGACGAACTGAAAAGAAAACCTTTAGCACCGTACGTGATCAATGAAAGAAACATAGTGCAGGAAGAGATAGAGGACTTTGCTGCTGCTCTCAAATCAAGGCAGAATGCTTTTGTGAGATATCTTTAAATTAAGCATCCATAGAGAGCTTAAAACATAAGCAAATTGTGTGAACCATAATGGGTGTACAAAACAAGAAATCAGATATAACAGCAGAATGGCTTGAACTCTCTGTCCGTAATACCTTCAAGTTTAGGAAAATACTTATTTGGTTAAATGACTATTTTAATTGATCTTAGCTTTTAATCTATAAACAAAAGATGAAATCTTCCTCCATCAAAAAAAAATCAGAAAAAAATAGAAACATTTACTAACTTTATATTGTTTGTACTCCTTTTCCAGTGCAGGGCTTCTTAATAAACAATGGTCTTTGCTTCCTAGCTTGCCTTTAAGATTAATTCACATTGAGAGCTTTAAGCCACCTCAGATACCATGTAGCAGCAAATTTCAAGACTTGTATTGAGCTCTTTGTAAAAACAAATAAATCTACACATACGGAATTTAAAGCAGTGCCCTATTATCAACTGAGGATACAAAATAGTTAATACAACATGGCAACATAATATTCTTCTAAAAGCAAAAAGGTGAGGCCTGCATTTGCTCAGCTTTTAAAAATTAAATAAAATTGGTACTGTTCTGCCTGCTAGATCATTAGTTTTCCAGGATGCAGCCAGCACCCCTTATATTTCCAATTTAATGCGAATCCCGTAAGTGTTTCAATCTAGAATAAGCTCATAGAGTTACTGCCCATTAAGGTAGAATTTTAAGTAACTAAGTGCATTTGCATAAGCAAATATTTGTACCTGGCACGTAACTAATTCAGAAATTTATGTAAGGTACACTGAAAAATCTTCAAATGATCTTATTTTTAATTTAATTTGGAATACAATTTTGTTTTCAAAAAAAAGCACAAATTCTTCAGGCAGGTTTACATAAAAGAAGCTTGACATTTAAAACAATGCCTTTTTAAAACTGTCAGACTACAAACTAGTGTTTGAACAATTTTTAAAAGGCTGAAACATCTTTCCTACAAAACTGCAAAATCTGAATGTTTTTAAGCTTACCAAAACAATACACCTATTGCGAAATACAAAATATTCCATCTTTGTTTTTTTAAGCTACAAAGTAGCAAAAAATAAGGTTGAAATCCAGCACTTTCTAGCTCACCTAACTGAAATAACACTGTTGAACTCCTTTAAGGCTAGAAAAAAAGTTTGTCAGAAAATTTAAAAGGTAAAGTACCAGTTATTACAAGTCTGCTTATAAAAAGTGCTAGTTATATAGCTGCAAGTCAATGTATACACAAACTTGAGGATATCCACTTGAAGAAAGAAGATGACAGAAAAATATTTCACCTATAGTTGCTAACCAAGAGCCACACAGAGGAATCTGGATTCAAACTGATTTTATGTATAGAGATGCTCTAGGCATTAACTGATGTTTTGCATTCAGCCTTCTGGCACAACAAGCATAGAGGCAGTGGCCAGAACTAATAGCCTTCACACAAGGAGAACAAAGCAAGAAAAGAGCCTCATGCACTCACAGGTTTGGGGTATGTAGACATTTATAAAACTAGATCAGGAGCCTCTAAAACACTTCACAGAACCAACTTTTAAAGCAGGACATAATGCCTTGCTACAAATCACTAAAAGGAAGTGGGCAGATCCCGGCCCTTGGCTATATATATATATGTCTATATGTTCCTCCTAAACAGAAGGAAGAACTAGAAGCAAGACAGCTCTAGTACAACATCATCACAATTGAAAACAGATCATCTGATTTCAGGCCTGTTCATAGTGACTGGGCTGTACTATAAAGTGTAGGCAAGGCTTGAGAATGGGCTTATGTGGCACAGCAAGTCCTAGACAGAACTCTTCTCGGGCACTTTGCAGGCTGCCCAGCACAATCTGGTTCAACCTTTATACGTTCATGTTGTGGTTAGGAAAGCTGAATTTGGGACATCTACAGATGGACATGATTGTAGCCAACCCATTCTTATGAACACATTCAGATCCCCTGAAAAGAAAACTGAGTTTGTGTTAAACTTCTTACTCTCTCCCACTCACACTCCTGAGAGCTCTTGCACTGAGACTAGCTAAATTCTTAGGCCAGCAGCATGGACTGTGTACACAGTTTTGTACTGAGAGCAGGCTTAGGCCTGGGCTTATCTGATATAATTAACGTTTCCTTTGAAGACTCAATCACTGCACAGCTGAGATAAAATACTCAAACTTTACTGCACACAACCTGTGGCTGTAGATAGACATTTTACAGCAGGGCTGCAATTATTTCCCCTTTGATCTCCACGCTTGCGCTAAGCCCCCAAACTGGATGATGCTCGGCAACATTGCAGGAACCATGGCTGTGAAACCAGAAGGTAATGCAGCATCCTAATTGTAGGAGCAGAGATTTGTTAGAATACAGGCAATTGTGTTGCACAAACCTGGGTCGTTCCTCTTACTCTCAAAGCTATGTCTAGCCTCATGCACGCTAGAAATGCTCCTTTTGCCCTTGTCTCATGCTTTCTCCTCTGCTACGTTTACATCCATGGGGTAATGTCCCAACACACAGTCCCAGATTCCACAAACTAAGCGCCACTGTGTGTTCCCTGGTCCATGGGGCCACAGGTCAAGAGAAACCCTGCAGCTGGTTGACCATTACCTAGCAGAGTTCACTATGCAAAGAACCATGCTAGACACCTCCTTCCCAATTCCTGACCTGTACGGTAGGCCCTCCAATCTCTTTTAGCTAGATGCACTTCTTTCTTTGTGTCCTCACAAGAAAGTCAACAGCTCATGCCACCCAAACATATAGGATCTCACACACAGGTCCAGTAAAGAACAAGAAACAACCCCCCCCACAAGAGATTTTTACAAACTGCCTAGAACACATATGGACACCTTTTTGAGCACTTCTAAATAATATACAGGGCAGATCTGAAATTAGACATTAATTTTAATTAAAAGTAAAATCTTACAGGGCATAGGATAAAGCAACATTTAAACACTAGAAAACACAGAGAAGCAATGAGTAAGGGGAAATTTTTTTTTTTGTTGTTGCACTTTTCAAAATTTTTCAAAGACAAGAGGAAAATCAAACAACTGATGCCAGCAATTACCTTTTCCTCAGCAGCGGGAACATGGTAAGAAAGGCCCTTTGCTCAAATCTGCTCTTTGGGAACCATTTGCTATGCAAGTCAAAACAGCTTTGTATATATAAAACCAATGATGAGTGATCTGCACTTGACTGCCTTCATACAAATCCTTCAGTGCCTCCCCCCAGCCATTATTGCCCTCTTACCTTCGAAACTCCCAGCAAACAGATAAATCCAGGTAATGGCTGGGACAAAAAGGACAGTCAGAGAGGCAGCCAGGAATTTCCGTCGCCCTCTGCAGATTCCCAGCATTCTCTCAGGAGTGGAGATTGCCAACTCAGTGCTGTTCCTATGTTGGAAGCAAATAGTCCACAGCCTCCCACATATTAATCCCTGAAAAGGAAAGGAAAAGAAGTTACCAGCTTATTTCTCTACAGAAAAGGTTGACTCTGCCAGTGTTCCTAAAGAGTTAAAAGAACAAGGTAAAAGCAGAGTTACCGCAACAGGAAAGCAGTTCCCATTTCAACATTATGCACAACATACTTAACAATACAGTAAGTTTTAGAAGTTCCATAAAACAGAGCAAGTCAGTAAAATACATCTTATCACCTAAACACACACTAAGCTAATCATACAGAGAGACATTACCTTTATTTATTCCTAGCTGCCCTTTTACTCTAGAGAGACTCTCGGTTCTTTGATGCCTGTGTGTGGTGGTGGCTCTGTGCAGATAAGAGAAAGACACCTGTATTTCTCTATCTGCTCCAAAAGAGCAAGAGTCACACCAGTGAATCATTGTACTGGCTGCAGGTGGTCAAGAATTCAAGACATGGAAGCAAAAAAGGGAAAGCAAAGATTCGGGGTGGAAGACTTCCTATTAAAATAACTCAGCTTGGCAATCTCAATCCAATACTGATGAATTGCTATATAAAAGGGAAAAGAGAAAAAGTAAAATATGCAAGGAGAAGGGGATTCTGGAGAATATCACTGTTTTTATAAGCAAAAACAAACAAAATCAATAGGATCTGAACTTGCTTAAAATAGTTGTTTTGCACTTCACAGACACAGGAAGGCAAAAGTATCTGAAGACTTTTTCATAGGAAAATGAATATTCCCATACCAGTGCAGGCATGCAGAACATAAAGACAACATTTCACATCTTTTGCTTTCTTTTGCAAAGGGAGGAAAATATAGAAAGGCTACTATTAGGCCAGAGGAGTTTGAGAAGGAAAGGGAAAAAAAATTAAATCTATGCAAATCTAGTTCAGGTTTTCTGTGGAAGAGCTTATGATTTCAGATTAAAAAAAAAAAAAAGAATCCATGTAGCAGCATGACAGGGAAAGAAACAAAAACTGTAGCAGTACAAGGTGTTAAACAGCACTCTGGCTTGTGCTTAGACAAGCAACTGAAGTTCAAAACAGCATTTAAAGTATTTCTATACAAACATATTAAAAATGACCACTGTGTACACTGAAAATATGTTTGAGCTCTACAACTTCATGTATATTGGGGTGAAAGTCAATTCCGAAATCAAATTACAGCAAAAATGAGAGTTATGAACAAAGAGAAATGGGCTCAGACAAAGAACTTCACTGATGGAGATACCTGGCTGCAGCAATCAGGCAAACTTACAGCTGTTCCTCAAACCTTCAATAGAGCCCACTTCACTACACTATGGTTTAAGAGCCACAGTAGTACTCTTGACCTTAGAACTGGTGCAATGGAACATAATTTGTCCAGAGTCAGCACAAAGAGCATTCCATTGTGTCAGCTTTTCAACTCAATGAATGCCTCACCACAGAGATTTTGCAGGAAATATGTGATCGGACATATTATTAACAACTGTGGTATTAGAGTCACTGTATTAGACAGACACATACATTTGGTAGATAAATTGTGGAGGACCCTTATTTTTATTCACTGTACTCGGGTAGTGATTACATTTCGTTTCTTTGCCTTACATCACGTAACTACCACAACTACGCTGAAGAGAGCCCTTTACATGCCTTCTTGAAAAACATAGATAATTTCCCTGGCTTCTGTGTTCCAAACTTGCTATATGCGTATATATTATGAAGAGCACAGAATCATTTCCTTCAGGTAGACTTTTTCTTTCCTGTAACAACAGGAAGTGCACCATTGACAGCACTCTGTGCGTATATAAATGAAACTTTTAAAAGGTGAACTGACAAGCTGGGTCGCTCTCCAGCAGTTAAATTTTGTAATGCAGCAAGCATTGGTCTCACACTGCTCCTACTAATGATACCCGTAAAATCCCCAGGTAGCAAAGTAACGCTCAACACTAAATGTTTATGAAATCATGCTGTTACAAATATACTGATAAAAATTTTCAGGAGAATGATATCCTAACCAATTAAGAAAGTATAAGGAGCAACACTGAACTCCCAATTCAGCTGCAATGTGCAGCTAGGAATGTGTCCCATTCAGTTTTCTACAAATTGTCATCCTTCAGACAAAACAGCCAAATAATTCTACACATTCATGCACATCTTCTACCTAACTAAGAAGACATTAGGGAAAATTCTAGACAATCCATTATGATGGTTTAGCCTACGAAATGTCGATATATGTCATTCATTGGTGCTTTACAAGAGAAAAGAGCCATAAACTAAAAGCAGTGTCTCTTGTTTCCCCCCATCCCCCAAAAGCTGTGAATAGCTTGCCTTGAGTTTAAAATACTAGTTTTCAGAGTATAAAATCAACATATCTGTTGAAATTTTTTTTCTCAAACTAGACAATCATCATGTAGAAAACCTACACAAGCAATTTTATAAAAGGTCTATTAATGCTAATGAAGATGCTCAGCTTAAAGGAAAAGCTTTGGACTCGACCATTTATTATGGCCTTCTTTGGTAAAGATTTTTACCTAACATACCATCTTCAAATAAACTGAATGAAGATGATGCAATTCTTTGATTAGGTTTTCTTTTCAATTCCACTGGTGTCAGCTTAATATTCTTCACGAAAAGAAAGTGACTGACAACACTGGCTAGAGCAAGGGTTGAACACAAAAATGGGCTTGCCATTGCACTTCAGACCTCTACTAGAGCATCCGCTGCTCCCCAAGCCATGGTCCTGCGGAATCAGATTATCATCTACCTAAAAGGTCTTAGAAAGCAGTCTCATAGTACAGGCTAAAAATGAAGCTACTAAGACATGTCATTGCTAACTAAATCCATCTTTTCAGTGATCCAAAATACTATGGTATTTTGGCGGTTCATTTCATTTAAACAAATCCAAGCAATGTCCCTCCTGAGATAGCTTTCTCACAAAGCAAGTAATACTGACAAAAGGTAACTATGTATATCACATATGTACGTCTTGCCGTCAGTAAGTTGGATGCTCTACACCTGTGCAATACATCCAGTTCAGGAGATCTAAAACCTCTTGCCACATGTACAGAACAGATCATAGTAACTTCAGATCAGCTCATCCTTGCTTACTGATAATGGTGCTGTAACAGTCTACTAGCTTGGACAACGCCTGTGTGACAGGTCATAGCGGGAATTAAAACAAATTGCATTTCTCATTACAAAGGCTTACTCGTGACCTTCTTACCACATTGCAACAATGAACAGAATGCCTTGGTTACCTTAGCATATGGATAAATACTTCCATTAACGATCTTGTCAGAGTGGTTGCTTTGTTTTAAATCAAGCATTATCTCCTCAGCTAAGTGTGAGGCTGCTCTCAACGAGTATGAGCACTACATACATTAAAGCATGTAACATAACACTAATCACATTAGTATTTGGTTACTATTCTTTTTTTGAGTTCAATGGAACAATGCAAGGAATTATGAAAACAAAAATCAAACACAATTAACTAGATTTAACTGCTCTACTATAAACAGCTTTTCCAACTGCTTCATACATTTCCCTGCATTTGTTGCAGTTCATCTTATCCCAGTAATCTTCCATTTGTTTTCAGAGCCACTGAAATGAATATACACAGTTAAAGCTGTTTATACACCAATCCTGTCCCTTGGCTTTACTGGGTATCTTGAATTAATGCTATCTAACTCTTTTTTGCTTTTCCACACTTGCAGTCACAGAGTCAATGGACAATTTCTACTGTAACGCTTTTCCCTTGGCTCTGCGTCAATGTAGCATCTATCCCTTAAGAGATTTTTCACAGTATACCAGACTCAAAATATAAATAACCTAAGGAAAAAAAGCAGTATCTCAGCCACTATTATTCTGTATTCTTTAAAAAACTGTTAATGTGGGGTTATAACAAGTTTACTTCTTGGACTCCTTAGTCCTATGGCGTCGTGACTTCAAAGAAGGATTTGGAGCAAATTCAGACTCAGCATCCACCTCAGAAGTTCTGTGAGACGACTTAAAAGGAACAGACTACAGCCAAGTTTCCAAATTCTACCAAATTTACTCTTTCTCAAGTAGTTACTAGAAAATAGTCTTATCTATAAGAGAGAAAATAGCCAGTAAGTTGACAGCACAAATGAGCTCTACCTTGCAACTGTGCTAACTGCTCTGAGGGCACACAGGATTGACACTCTCTTTTATATCTTCCCTCAATATGTGCCATGGCTCAAGGAAGTTCTATTACTGTCCTGCTAATCAAACTTTTCCAGAAGGCTCCAGGTGGTAGCGCTGTAAACAAAGCCACCACATAAACGGGGATCTATCCAGACAATAGTCTAGTCGCAGACAGACAGAAGTAAATGAATAAATAATATGCTTTCACATTTTTCCTTTTTCATTGCTATGTATTCCTTTACAAATTCACATACACCACACATATATATTATATATCCATCTTTAATGGCATTCTGTTTTTCTTTCAAGCCTAGACCATTAAATGAAAGCCTGCAACTTTAAAACTTTAAAATCAAGGAAGAAAACAATTAAGACTAACAGTACAAAAAACATTCCCTATGCCTCCACTAAAATGTCACTGGTAATGTGAGGAGAAAAAAAAAATCTATCACTACAGAAGAGACCAGCAGCAACCAAACACAGCCATGACAGAAAGATCAATCTTCACTGTTAGTCACATTTCATTTGCAAACCGTGAAAGATATCTATTTCCAAAGTAGCTACTAACCTATTTTTTCAATGGACAAGTCAAAACTTTTCCAAACTCTTGCTTTATACAACCCACTCTCCTGTATGCACATACACCACCAGTATTTCCTGACTCCCCAATTTATCTCAATATTCCACATAGTCCAAAGAAGGCGAAACAGAGGCTGATTCAGTTTGAAGAAGTCCAACTTGACAGTATAACTGCATAATAAAAAATACCTTTAGGATTTGAGATCCCAACTTTACCGAATTATAAACATACCAGAGATCACAGACAATCAGCAGTAACAGCTAGGTAGAGACTCTTCCAATAAAATGTAAAAC